GAAGATAAAAAAACCACATATTTGACACTTTATCCAAGAAAATCCATGCATATTTTACAAAAACAATAGGCTGTTTCTACATTAGGTTGAAAAATGAAAGCCTAAATGATATACAAGCTGCTTCTTGAATATTTTAAGTAAATAACACATTTTTCCAGTTGAATTACAAGGCATTAAATCAGTAAAAAAATCTGACGTCGGTGGAGAGTGCAAGTCAAATTTAGAGTTTTAAACACAATTTGCATCTCCTAAACGGAAACCGGTGATTTTCTTCACAGAAATCCCACACAGACAGACTGAACCTGAGGTTTAGGCAGCAGGCACAGGCTGAGCGAAGCCCCTCGTGCTGCAGCAGCTCCCAGCCCTGCAGACGTGCACACACGGGCCAGTGTCTGTATTCAGAGCAGAGACTCAGCAGGCACTGACCGTCGGCGAGTCTGGAGTCCAGTTTGCCGGGCAAACCTCTCCGTGCGTTTCCACGAACTGGAAGGCCTTCACCAGCCGCAGGGTCTCCTCCACGCTGCGCCCCACGGGCAGGTCATTGACGCTCAGGTGCTTGATGACCCCGTTGGGATCAATGATGAAGAGACCTCTGCAATCGAGCGGGAATTTAGGGAACGCCAGGCACATTCCGAGCCCGAATACAAGCAAATGGATGGGCTGTTCCAGCAAGGTGGTTATTCCTAGATGTGGTTATTCCTAGGTACCAAATGCTGTACTGCTGCTCTTAAGTGATATCTTGTTTGTTAGTGACCAAAAGCCAGGAACCAGCCAACTGCTGTGGTACTGTGAAATCACAAAGTATGCATAAAGACCACTCAGTCGAGACAGATGTACAGCAAAGGCAGAACTCATAACTCCACCTGTACTTCAAAACTGGTACCTGGCATCCTTCCCATGTCCTTCTGATCAAATCTGAAGGTATTCAGTAAAGAGCTGATTATGCATTAAGCTACTAAATTAAATCCTGCTGGATATAAGCACTTGTGAAAACCAAAGTCCCAATTTTACCATACTATTTAACTTAATCCATCAGCAAACAAATGTCAGGAGTTCCTGATCCAAAGATGGAATCAGGAAGTGAAAGTCTCCAGAAGACTGCTATCTAGCCCATTGTTTCTTGGGGACTACTATTGAAAAAAATTTAAGAAACTGCTTTTCTATGCTACTCTTGTTTTCCTTAGAGACATGGAGTTCTCCCCCTCTCTTGGAACTGTTTTTCCCCTGCATGCACTGTCAGAGAGGCTGGAACCATTCTGAGCTTCATGGCCATAATGGCCACGTGCCCTTTTCCTAGGGAGGGCTCCAGCAGCTCTGCAGCAAAAATGACATCTGTGGGTCTTCATTTGATCCTTGTGCTGTTTCCCACACAGGAGAGGACTGGGCAGCTTTCCTTGGTTTAGACTGGGCTGTGTCATAACAGAGTTCCTGGAAATCATGCCTTACCTTAGTGCTATGCCAGGTCCTTCTAGCAGCACTCCATAGTCACGGGAGATTTGTTTGGTGAGGTCTGACAGAACTGGAATATTCATTTTGCCCAAACCGCCACTCTGGAGGAGAGTAAGATTCCATTTGGTTACAAAACACTTGATACTCTTTAGGGTAAACTCACTCAAAACACAATCATTCCATTTGTTCCATGAAAGGAACCAGGAGTGTGTGTTGTTGTTTGGGTTTGTTTTGTTTGTTTTAAAGTAGTCAGAAACATTTGGTTTCTTTGCAACATGAAAACCTGTTTTGCACTGAGCACTTTAGAGCTGCATATTTTGGTGGTAAAAGGCAACCAATGGCAACAGTCACAAATTTTCAGGAAAATTTTCATTGTACTCTAATCAGGAGCTTTGAATACAAAAATTTCTACTGCATATTTAAGTGTTCAGAATTAAATAAGATGAACATGATGGGGAGGGAAGGGAAAAGTGCATATTGTGAACAAACAAGTGTTGAAGCACAAGTCTTTGGGCACAGGTCTTATGAGGAATGGCTGAAGGAGCTGGGGCTGTTTAGCCTGGAGAAAAGGAAGCTCAGGGGGGACCCTGTCACTCCCTACAACTCCCTGACAGGAGACTGTAGTCTCCTGAGGTGGGGGCCAGTTTCTTCTCCCAGGTAACAAGTGACAGGACAAGAGGAAATGGCCTCAAGTTGCACTAGGGGAGATTCAGATTGGATATTAGGAAAAATTTCTTCCCAGACAGGGTTATCAAGCATTGGAACAGACTGCCCAGGGCAGTGGTGGAGTCACCACCCCTGGAAGTGTTCAAAAACCATGAGGATGTGGCACTTGAGGACATGGTCAGTGGTGAACATGGTGGTGGTGCAAGGTTGATGGCTGGACTTTATAATCCTAGAGGTTTGTTCCAACCTTAACCATTTTATGATTCTAAGCACACACGCTTGGTATGTCAGAGTTCTGCTGCTCTATTCAGTGCATGCATTTTTTTTTCTTCTCCTCCCACAAATCAATTTAAATACTATTTGGAGAGTCAAACAAGATTTCTTTCAGTTTTGCTACATACTGGAGCTGCAAGAGAAATAAGCCCTCTAACCTTGAAACAAGGCTGGAGTTTGTTAGCTTTGCTATTCCTGGCATCACCAGTGAATCACTGTGTAATCTCAGTCACTCAGACCCTGATCCTGAAAACACTTGGCTGCAACAGAGTTCTCACAGGCAGAGCTTCAAGCACAGATGTCAGAGAAACCAAGGCCTCAGTTTCTCTGGGTGTCAGCTTCCTTTCAGCACCATCATGGAATTCCTTCCCCCCTGTGCAGGATGTTTTGCTACACATGCACCTGAGCAGCACGGCCAGCACACACTGAGCAGCTTTCCAATAAATCCACGAAGTCAGTCCACAACCACATTTTAGAGCTCTGAACAAAGCATTCAGAGAATAAACATCCTTGATAGGCTCAGCCAAGCTGTATTAAATCCAGCACACTGTCCTGGCCCCCCTGCATGTCACAGCAGCACCTGAAGGCACTCAGCCTGTGAGCACTCCTGCACACTGCTGCCCACAGGGGTCGTGGCTGATGGCACAGCCTGCACCTTCCTGTGACACTTGTGATTCTCTACAACTAACTCAGCTGGTGAGGTCCTTTATGCAATTAAGAGCATGTATTTTACATACATCTGAAAGAGGCTTCTCTCCAGTTCAAGGCTGTTTGCTCACTTTCTTTCCCTAAAGAAAGCCAAACCCCTCCATTTACACTGCAAGAGCAGAACCCTTTCAGCAAGTGAGAGTTAATAATACAAGTGCTCCAATAAACTGTTGGTTCTTCTGCTTCCCTTCTGAAGCCACCACTGTTAGGCACTGCATAACAATAACAACTTAGACAGCTGCTGTTCATTTTCTGTCATAGTTTCTGTGCACTATCAGCTGTAACAGATATCTTAGGGCTGTGACATGTACACTGAGCATTTGTCTTTTGAGATAAATGTACAAGAATAAACATTACTATCAACAGAGCAAAACATGTTAAAAAAACCAAGTAATTAAGAAAAAGAGAAAGAAAACAAAGATTGATGTCAGAATTATGTCAACAAATGTAGAAGTTAATCACATACCACTTTAGGCAGTCTATTAAAAAATCAGTGTTGGCACAATTATTTATTCAATTCCTCTGGAGCTCTTGTGAAAAGAAACCAAACCAACAGAAAAAGCCTGAAACAGATGGTTGATTCATACCTTTCGTGGTGTATTTATCCAGGCCAGATGACAAAAATGAGAGTCCACTGAAACTGCCACCACTTCACAGTTCACATCACGAAATTCATTTGCTTTGTTGCTGAAAGCCACGATTTCCGTGGGGCAGACAAAGGTGCTGGGTGAGAGGAGAGATCAGGCTGTAAATGGTTCTACAGTCCTTTCCGGGAATTTTTTAGAAACGACTCTCATGTCTGTTTCTAGGCACTAATGCAGCAGAGCGTTTTCTTTAGCCCAGTAATTTTAACCATGTTTCCTGTTCAAGATTAGTTTCAGTCATAGCTGTGGAGCTGGTGTGCCAGTTTCCCTAACAGATTCTTTGCAAAGATGAAGAAACTGCCTCTGCTAGGCACTCTCTAAACAGAGAGATTTTGGAAACTATAGCAGGAAGGACTGCAGGTTAAACCCTCCCCCGTGTGCCTACCAGGATGCTCTTCGAGATTTAAGTCTTCTGACAGACTTAACCCCATCGGGTCACATTTTGCCTTGCAGCCATGAAGCTGCAGTTCTGCTGGCCCTGCTGCTGCCTAAAGGAGAGTCTCCAAGGCAGCCCCAAATACCCTCAAACCAAACACCCTCACCCCTGGGGTCTGACCGTAAGAGGAACCACATCCACCTCCTGAGGCAGTCCCCTGCAGGCAGAAGATGCTCTCCCGCCACCATATCCACTGCTTTAACACACGGTGGCCATTTGTCCCCAGTCTAATCACCCACGCTCTAGAAACAGGCACATCTGCCTTGCAAGACCGGCCCAAATCGGGTAAAACCAGCGACGACCCGCCGCGCCTGCGATGACCTTCAGCAGGGCGGGAGGCCCACCGGGACGGGGAGAAACCCGCACTCACAAGTCCAGCGGGTAGAAGAAGAGAACCAGGTATTTCCCCTTGAAATCATCCAGGCTCAGCTCCTTGAACTCTCCGTTCACCACGGCCGTTCCCTTGAAGAACGGGGCGTGCTGTGTCACGGCCGGGCCGAGCCGCGCGGCGCCTGCGGGGCAGAGCAGGGAGCTGGGGCTGGGGCCGGGCCCGGCATCGCCGCGGGCGCGCCCGCCGTTCAGCCCGCCCGTCCGCACTTACCGGCGCTCAGGGCGCGGCGGGCGCAGGGCGGGGGCAGCGCCGTCACCCTCCTCCCGGCGGCGGCAGCGACGGGCACCTGCGGGGGACAGGGGTCAGAGCCGGGCCGGGCCGCGCCGGGCAGGGCCCGCGGGCGGGCGGGCACTCACCGCGGCCCGCAGGAGCCTCCCCAGCGCGGCGGCCATGTCGAGCGGCGGGCGGGACGGAGGGACGGGCACGATGGAGGGACGGAGGGACGAGGGGGCGGGGAGAACCCGGGATCGCGGGAGCGGTTGGGTAAGAAGGGGCCTCCGAGGGCGGCAAGATCAGACTGTGACCGAGCGCCGCCTTGTCAAGGCACCGAGTGCCGCTTCCAGCCTTGCCTTTAATAACGGTGACTCCACCACCTCCCTGGGCAGCCCATTCCAATGTCTAATCACTTTATATGAGAAGAAATTCTTCCTTATGTCCAACCTAAACCTCCCCTGGTGCAGCTTGTAATCATTTCCTTCTCGTCCTGGGAGCAGAGCCCGACTCCCCCCCCCGGCTCCCCCCTCCTGTCAGGGAGTTGTAGAGGGTGATGAAGTTCCCCTGAGCCTCCTTTCATGCAGACTAAACACCCCAGCTCCCTCAGCTGCTCCTCACAGGACACCTTCTCCAGACCCTCCACCAGCTCCATTGCCCTTCTCTGGACTCTCTCCAGCCCCCCAATGTCCTTCCTGCACTGAGGGGCCCAGAACTGGACACAGCACTCAAGGTGTGCCCTCACCATTTCCAAGTGTACCTGGTGCTGTACCCGGGCTGAGCCCCTCAGCCACACAGGCTGTGCTCAGGTGCTGGTGGTGGTGTTTGCTCTGGGACCTGGGTTTGGTGTGTGCTGGTACAGGCTGGCTTGTGCTTAGAAGCCTTCCAGATACAGACTTTACAAACGCAGTTGGCTCAGACTTCGCTGAACTCACTCAGGTTATAGTTACAGAATCACAGAATATTCTGAGTTGGGAAGGACCCGCAAGGCTCATGGAAGTCCAACTCCTGGCCCTTCACGGGACACCCCAACAATCCCACAATGTACCCGAGACATTGTCCAAACACTCTTTTAACTATGACAGGCTTGGTGCCGTGACCACTCCCCTGGGTCCTAATATCCAACCTAAACCTCCCCTGGCTCAGCCTCATGACATTCCCTCAGGTCCTGTCTCTGGTCACCAGAGAAAAGAGATTGGTACTGCCTCTCCTCTTCCCCTCCCGAGGAAGTTGGAGACTGGAGTGAGGTCTCCCCTCAGTCTCCTCCAGGCTGAACAGACCAAGTGACCTCAGCCGCTCCTCACACGGCTTCCCCTCAAGGCCCTTCACCATCTTCATAGCCCCTAGTTGTTTAATCATAATGGAACAATTATTGTGTGCCAGCCATGTGCCTGCTCATCTTCTCTTGACTGTGAGCTGATGCAAACCCAAGTCACTGTCTCATTTCCCTCACAGGCACTTGCTGCTGGTGATCAGCAGCAGCTCTGTGTTAACCTGAATGTGTCTATGTTTGCCTTGAGGATTGTCCCAGTTCAGTCGGCTGCAGGGACCATCCCTGTGAAGCCACATGGATCCATCCCTAGGAAGAGCAGTTTGGGTGTGTGTTACCTCTGCAAGAGGTAAGAGAGTCACAAATGCCCATTGCAGGCTTCCCATCTCCTGCCAGGGAAAGCAGTGCGGGGAAGGTGCATGGCTTGTGGAAGGGACCACACCTGACATGTGTAAGACTTCATTTCCTTGCAGCTGTGGTTTTCAGAGAGGCTGCTGTCAAAACCCAGGCCCCCACAACTCTTACTAAAGGAGCTACTTGAGCAGAGTCACTTGGGCAGTACGAGGTTTTCTCAGGCTGTTTTTGTTGAATGCCTGATGGTGGCAGCAACAGAGATCATCTTCATGAAGAAGTGCCAACTGCCTTCCCGTTTTAGGCCATGTGCTTTGGAACAGCACGAGCAATGTGCACAGCCCAGAATACTGAAAATCACTTTCTGAAAGTCCATTTTTCTTTTCTTAGCTTCTTTCTGTGTGTTCTTTCATCTAAATAGTCAAACTGAGTTGAATCCAATTTCCCTTCTTATAGCCAGAGTGACATGAGAGGGAAGAAAATGTGGACACCACAGGATATGGATACCCCAGTGTGGGCTCCACCTGCGTAGTAGTATAACTGCTTCCTGCATCCATTGGTTTCCTTGAATTCAAATAGACATCACAGTTGCTTTTGATTTTAAGGCTGTTCCCTTCAGGCTCAACACCTGCTGTCAGGCTCTGAGTGTGTACTTGAACGTGTGTGCACAAGTGCAGGGCTGGGTCAGTGAACTACCAGGCTCTGAGTTAAGGAACCTTCTGTACCCCTTGCTTCTCATTAGTGCTTCATTAAGGGACACCTGAAGGTCTGTGAGAGAGAAGTTCAGTTTTGTCTCTTGCTGATAAACCAGGGCTGCTGAAAAGTGCCAGCTGGATTGAGACTCTGCTGGGAAGGTCACTGGCTGAACAAGGAGCATTGGCTGGTTAAGCTACTCAGTTTAATTGCACATACGTTGCCTAAAATTTGGGAGCATTCTTGCTTAAAAACCCTAAAAGTAGAAGCAAGTAAACTATTTGTACGTTAGAAAGTATGTCAGGTAGACTGTGGGTGAGCTGTGCCCTAGTCTGCACCCTTGGATTTGGAGAGGAAAGGAGTAATTATGGAAAGTCATGACCACGGCAGAGGTGTTGGAGGTCTTTGTGCCACTGCTGAGGGCTGAAAGTGGAGCAGTGAGCAGGGAAGCTGAGTCGGGACACCTGTGGAGCAGTGGCTGTAGGTAGAGAGCAGCAAAAACATCAGCCATTCCTTGGGCCATTTCCTTAAAGAGCAGTGCAGGATGGCGTGTCTGTGTTCAACCCTGCACACCAGGACATCACTCCGATGGACAGACATGCTCACCCAGACGAGTCCCCTGGGGCTGGGCAGCAAATTGTGTGCCCAGGGGTGGCTGGGCCTCAGTGGTTGCTTTCCCTCAGTTGTGGGAGCTGCATTGTGGCAGCAAGAAAAGGGTTATTGCTCGGATTTCCTGAGGATGGCTGTCTCA